ACACGGACAAAGGAAGTTTGTATCTAAGAAAAGAGGAGAGTGACTAGGATTGTATTTAGTTGGAGAAGATGAAGTGGTCAAGTGTTTCTTATCTGTTTATTCAAGTTTACTTATTCCCTCCTACACAAAATTGTCCACTAGGGCATTTTTTAAAATGTTTTTGTTTCTTTTTAAATTTTATTTCTGAGAGAGAGACAGCATGAGCAGGGGAGGGTCAGAGAGAGAGGGAGGCACAGAATCCGAAACAGGTTTCAAGCTCTGAGCTAGCTGTCAGCATAGAGCCCAACCCGGGGCTCAAACCCACAAACCGTGAGATCATGACCTGAGCTGAAGTCAGATGCTCAACCGAAGGAGCCACCCAGGCGCCCCTCCACCAGGGCATTGGACTCTCCTCCTAAACAGTCAAGATGAAACTTGGCCTGGACATGGAAAAGGTTAATTGATAGCTTTTATCCCCTCAATGCAGCTGTTTATATATAGACATCTATAGTTGGATAAACTATTGTGCAAATTTTTAAAACAAGTAAGAATTAATTAATTGTTCTATATTTCTCCTTCCTTCCTCCCTAACACTTCTTAACAGAAAGATCTAAATGCCTTATCACCATTTTTTCCATTACTTTCTTGCACTGCCGAAGACTTTTCAAAGCCAAAATACTTTAATCATCAAATGCAAAAGCTTTTTCACAGACTCCTAGAGTGGTTAGAAATTATGGAATTTTCTCAGTCTCCCACTCAAGGTAACAAATCCCATCTGAATGATGTTCACCAATTTCAGATATTCCCAGTAATCAGACACTAACAATTCCAGATATTCCCAGTAATCAGACACTAACAACCTGAGTTTTGCTCCCCCGTTCTGTCCAGCAAAATTACCTGTGGGGATTATTATAAGCAGGTACCCAGGGCTGACTCACAAAAATCCCCATTGAATAGGTCAGTATAGGACAAAGTCACCTCTACCTTGATATAACTACAGTTGATTCTATTGTGCAGATACAACTGAGAATAAATGATATTAGTACCCCTTTTTATAGTTCATAAACTCTTTGGAAAACACTATTCTGGCAAGCACTTTGACATCTCCTCAAAATCAATTATTATCCTTTCTCTGCATAAACAGTGCTCTAAATTTGCTCCAGGCAGCAATGTGCCCATTAAAAATATTCACCACGAAAATTTCGTTATATCTCAGTATGGTCATACAGTGCAGTTCAGGTTAATGGAATATAAGCACCAGTTTGGTTGGGGGTTTGAGGATTGTATTCAGGAAGCCTGAGTTTTTCAAACAATGCCATTGCCCCTTCCTCTGGACTAAGAGAATGGCATACTACTTAGAGATCCAGGAGAGAGCCTGTAAACAAGAGGATAAGCAACACTTATCAAGAATGGCAAAGAAGGAAGAATTTAGGTTGAACCAAATGGACTTGGCTGTTTTGGTAAATCAAAAATAGTTGCTTACAAGGCAATTTCATATGGCTACATTTAAGTTTAATAAAAGGACCTTGGGTTCAAGATGATATAGCAATTGTACCAGCACTGGAATCCATGTTTCCATCTTACTATCACTTATGAGAAAAAAAACACCTTATTTAATTAGGTTTTTATTACTCATTGATGAATATAATCCTAATGAATCTATGTGGAGCAAAAATTTGCCTTTTTCTAACATCTGACAATTAGAGCTGTTCAAAAATATAAGTAATATTGTGTGATCCTCTTTCTAAAAGATGCCTATCATGAACACTACTTATCTTGACATTCTTAGTTCCTTCTTATGATTATCGTATGGCATGACTTTTCAACAATTAATCATTCTGAACCTTATCTTCCAGACATGCTCCAGTTTGATAATGACTCACTAAAACACATTACCAGACAAACTCTCCTAGATGTAGTTTGATTGGTAAAGTGGGGCATGGACTCTTACCTACCACATTTTGGACTTTATAGTTATATAGGTTCACTTTATTGTTGTATTATTTTCTCTTTTTTGAAGTTTATTTATTTTTGAGGCAGAGAAAGAGAGAGCGAGAGACAGAGAGAGAGAGAGCGAGAGAGCGAGAGAGCAGGGGAGGGGCAGAGAGAGAGAAAGACAGAGGATTCAAAGCGGGCTTTTTGCTGAGAGCAGACAGCCCAGTGAGGGACTGGATGGAACTCATGAACCATGAGATCATGACCTGAGCTGAAGTAGGACACTTAACTGACTGAGCCACCCAGGCATCCTTATTCTCTCTCTCTCTCGCTCTCTCTCTCCCCCCTTTTTTTTCCAGATACCAAATTCTTGGCTCATATTGATGTACTCATTCCTCTGACAAAAAATGCTATTATATAAGACCTCTCCTATTCTTGCTTATAGTTAATTTTCTTTAAAATTTTCTTCTAAGTATTTGAAATTTTACTGCACCTTGGGTCCTGTATTTAAATTTGCTTAGATTATTTTTGGATTCTGATGAGCTGTCACCATCAGCTTTGTGTCATCCTCAAATCATATAGATGTGTAATCTCCACATCAAGGTGAATGATTAAGAAAAAAGGCAACAAAATAGACCCAAGGATATGGCCAAATTCTTCCTTGCCTTCATATTTCAGTAATAGACCCAATGGCATAGCCAAGTTCTTACTTATATTTATATTTTACCCACTCCAGAATGATTTATTCATTCCCTTCTGTATCCTAGCCATAAACAACAAAACATAGTTCTTAACATTCAATGAAGTAGACAATTCAATACAACACGGTAAGTACTGAGATAAAAGCGAGTGCTATTTGCTCCGGCACCATCTAGGAGATTTTTTGGGTAAGAAAAGTCTTCTAGAAGGAAGATATCTGAAAGCTAAGATACAAACTTGACTATATTTAACCAGGTAAGAGGAGAGATAAATATTACAAGTATAGGAGACTGCATATGTGAAAGCTTAGAGACAAGGGAGTGTGGTAGGAATTCAGGAATCCAGTACTCAGTCTGGCTAGATGGAATGTGTTTGTGTGATTTGGAAGCTTAAGCGGGTGGGGAAGAAGGAATGGAGGTAGAAAGACAAGATGTGTAGGTAGAGATGTAGGCAGAGGTCAGAGCTTGAATGGCCATATGTTTCTTATTAAAGATTTCATATTGAGAGACAAGTATTAAAGGGTTGCATGTCAGATAGTAACATGATGATTTACAGTTAATTATTAAATAACATTATTTGAGTTACTTAAAATGTTACATGTTTTTAAAAATGTTAAAATGTTGTTCTAATGATAGTGCAGAAAATGAATTAAAAAGGGGACAAGACTAGAGGCAAGACAACCTTCTAGAGGATGTTGCACTCAGTCAGCAACCAAGGTGAGTGCTGCAGGGATGGGGAGATTTCGGAGTATTCAAGCATTATGGAGGTTGAAAGGTTATGACTTGGAGGTCAAAAGGAAAGAGGATGGCAAGTGGTAAAGGAAAGTGAAAGAAAACTTCTAGTTTTGGGGTGGTGTTCAGGTGAGCTTAAGGAGATGGTGATGAATGGAGTTTGAGTCATGATGGGTTTGAAGATGCCTAACGGGCATTTTCAAGGTGCTATCCAATATGAAGGTAACTACACCAGTCTGGAACTCTGGAGAGATCTCTGATCTTTGTTGAAGGTGTCAACAACACAGATACAATTACCCAGGAAGAGAGTAGATAGTGCATACTAGATAAACCGTATTTAAAGTTTGGGAAGAGAAGAAATCTTGGGAAGATAATTGACAGGAAGTGACCAAAAACAATTAAGAAAAGCCAAGAGAGTGTGATGCCATCTAGGTCAAACGATGTGTATTTGGAGAAGGCAGGAACAATGATAGTATCAAATGCTGCTGAGGATCAAGTGAGATTATACTTAATGACAAAAAGATCTTCTATCCCTTTGGGAAAACTGTTTTGTGGGTTGAGTTCTAGTGTAGGGGATAAAAGTAAGGTGAGGATATAGAAAATGTGAGCAATTATTTCAAAAAGATTTTTGGTGTTGTTATCATTGTTTTATTTATTTTTTATTTTTTAAATGTTTTATTTATTTCTAGGAGAGAGAGAGAGAGAGAGACAGCGTGATCAGGGGAGGGTCAGAGAGAGAGGGAGTCACAGACTGAAACAGGCTCCAGGCTCTGAGCCGGCAGTCAGCACAGAGCCCGACGCGGGGCTCAAACCCACGAACCGCGAGATCATGACCTAAGCGAAAGTCGGATGTTTAACCGACTAAGCCACCCAGGTGCCCCTGTTATCATTGTTTTAAAAAGAGGGAGGAAATAGGGAGACAAAGGGGAATTTCAGTTGGAGAGGATGTTGTTGCTTTTGTAAGAGGGGGAGATCTCTTTGAATGCTGAAGGGCAGGGGTTAGTACAGGGAAGGATGAAAGAAAGTTCTAGGAGATGACTGACCAAGTGAGGTCCATTAGGGAATATGAAAGGGTGGGAGGGGTGGCGAACCTTGAGCACTGGTAAAACAATGAGTCTTGAAGACAAGGAGAAAGAAAAATTGCATGACTATATAAATTAAGGAAGGAGAAACTTACTTGAAAATTCCCATTATGATTGGATTCAACTGCAAATGATAGAAACTACACGGTAAAAGTGGCTCAAATAAGACAGAAGCTTTTCTCTTTGGCCACAGAAACACTCCACTTTGTTCATGGCTGGTGTCATGTTTTCTAAACTGAGGGACCCTGCCCTTTCTGTGGCTGGGATCTGTTGTACATGGCTTTGACTCTTTTGGTCTAAGATGGCAGCATCTGTGTGCCAGGCAGTGGGATGAAAGAGGAGATGAAGAAGAGACAGAATGCACAAGTGTACTGTCTCCCAAAGAAGATTCCTTCCTGGAAGCCCGCACATGACACTATTTCATGCCTTTGGACAGAACTTAGTTACACTGTTTCTCTTAGATGCAAGGGAGTATGGGAAATGCATCATCCACTTGGGATGACCACATGCCCAACAAATTCAGGGGCTTATTATCATGGCAGGAGGGGAGAATGGATGTTAAGAGAGGATTATAATTTTGCATGAAAGGAGGGAATGTTAGATCTCCTCCAACAAGGATGGAAGAAGCCCTTGAGCCCATACAACACACACATGGTTATGATATTACCACCTACTTTGTGGCATCTAACTATGGGTTCTCAACATTTCTAGTCATTAGAGAAATGCAAATCAAAATCACAATGACCTACTACTTTACCTCCATTAGGATGGCTATTGTTTAAAAATTTTAAAAGGAAAATAAACAAATTGTTGTTGATGGTATGGAGAAATTAAATTGGAAACGCTGTGCATTGCTGGTAAAGTGGTGCAACCATCCTGAGAAGCAGTTTGGTGGTTCCTCAAAAAGTTAAAAATGGGATTATCATATCACCTAGTAATTCCACTTCTAGGTATATAACAACTATAACAACAACAAAAACCCAACACAAAAATTTGAAAGCAGGGACTCAGATATTTGTACAGCCATTTTCATAGCAGCAGTATCACAATAGGCAAAAGGTGAAAGCAACCCAAGTGTCCATCAGTGTATGAAGGAATCAACAAAATACGGTGTACATGTACAATCAAGTGTTCTCCAGCTGTAATGAAATTAATGAATGAAATTCTGACACGTGCTACAACATGGACGAATCTTGAAAACAGTATGAAAGAAGTCAGGCACAGAAGGACAAATATTGTATGATTCCACTTATATGAGGTACCTACAAGAGAGACAGAAAATAAAAGTTTCCAGTGGCTGTGGGGAGGAAGGAATGGAGAGCTATTATCTGATGGGCAAAGTTTCTGTTTGGGATGGGGAAGGCATCCCTGAGATGGTTGGTGATGATGGCTGTACAACACTGTGAATGTACTTAATGCCACTGCGTTGCGCAGTTCACATGTTTAAAATGGTTTCTTTTATGTTGTATGTAACTTACTCAGATAAAGAAAAATGCAGAAAGAGGGAGAATCAGCTGTCCTTGTGCATTAGGGGTGCAGCTAAACTTTTCAGCTTGGCTGCAGGATGTTGGAAGAGTCTGCATTCAACGGCTCTGATTTTCTCTGAGAATGAATTGGCCAAGAGGTGTGTTTGCACACACGTGTGTACATGTTGGCATACGTGTCCATAAGTCTGTGTGCTGTGTTTTCCAGACAGCAGAAAAGGATGAAAGCAGTGACTTGTGCAATGGGCTAAAGGGCTGACAAAGTAATAACCCTCCTTTGCTCACGGCTTTCTCTCCTCTCCGGATTTTAAGATACAGTATGATCCATTCCTACCCTATTTTTCCATCTCTGTTTATGGTTCTGGTCATACCACATAGGAGATGGTAGCAGACTATCTCTTAAACATGGGCTCCTCTCCAACTCCTTTCTTGAGTTAGCCCTCTAAGGAATTACACAGACTGGGGACACCTGGGTGGCTCAGTCTGTTAAGCGTCTGATTTCAGCTCAGGTCATGATCACACAGTCTGTGGGTTCGAGCCCTGCTTTGGGCTCTGTGCTGACAGCTAGCTCAGAGCCTGGAGTCTGCCTCAGAGTCTGTATCTCCCTCTCTCTCTGACCCTCCCCTGCTCACGCTGTCTCTCTCTCTCTCTTTCTTTCAGAAATAAATAAAACATTAAAATAAAATAAAATAATAAAATTTCAAAAAAGGAATTCCACAGACTGTTTTACAGCCTGCAAAGCATACATCCATGTAAAATATATTTCTTGATCTCCACGTTAGTCAGAATATTCTTTCTCATCCCAGTTCTATTCTCAACTCTAGCCTATGATATGGAGTTTTTCCAAGAGCCTTTATTTTCCTCATCTGTAAAATAGGATATTTAAACTTCCTTGGAATGTAGTTTCCATGTTTTCACTGAATTATGTTTGGGAAACCTGGTACTCAATACGTATCAGAAAAGTAAAAGCCAACATTTTTATGGGGTTTTTGAGCAGCTCAGTTATTGGGGACTGTAATTGGTCCTCAGTCCCCATCATCATCTCCCTACCCACCCCCCACTGCCACCCGGACCACTTTTGCTCCTATAATCACTCACCAGCTCAGTTCAGGTCCACCTCTGGATGACCTATATCTGTCCCTCCTCTCCTGCTTGCCTGCCCTGTCTTAGGTCAGGCTTGAGTCCTGTCTTGCTACCAGTTTTCTCCCCAGATTAGTCTATCCTCTCTCCTGCTAATAATTATCTTGTTAAACAACAACAACAAATTTTGTCACCTCAGTCTTTCTTAAAATATCTACTGGCTCCACATGGCTGGCTTTTAACACAAAAGCCCAAGTTCCTTAATTTGGCACAGAAATCCCTTCCCTATTTTGCTCTGGCCTCTTTCTTGCTCTATCTCCCAGTATTTTCTTGCTTCTGAGCTTTTGCCTCACTGACCCCAGACACTGACCCTGGACACTAATGCCCCACCACAGCACAGTGCCTTTGCACACACTGCAAATGTCCTTCCTGCAGGATTAGCTCAATGCAACACTGTACTAACTTGTTTTAATGTTGAGGGTGATGGAATAAACAAGGCCAGAATTTAAAAGGCTGAAAAGGAGGACAGAGATGTGAAACCCACTCTACTCCACCATTTCTAGGCTGAGCCTTCATGTGGTTCACTCCACAGTTTCCTTGATCCTAATCTGACCAAGGGAAAGAGGAAGGGGTTTGTTTTTACACAAGGTCCTTAGAGTTATGGCAGTTCAAGTGTGGTCCCTGAATCAGAAAATCTGGAGCTTTCTGGAACATAGCTATGTGCATTTTAATAAGCCCTTCAGGTGATTGATGCTAAATTTGGAGAACCATTGACTTAGAGAAGTAGTGAACACAGATGGAGGGAGCTTTGACTGGAAAGGCCATTCCCACTCGAGGTTCTGTGGCTGTGTGTGGGGGTGGGGTGGGGCGGGGTAGCCACTTCTCTGTCCTCACGCGAGGGGGTCTCAGTTTCTCTTGAATATACCCACCTTAGGGGGAAAAAAAAACATCAGGGCAGAGCAAGCTTAGTGGTATGTAAGCAATGAAAATATATAAACTAAATAGTTGAATATTCCTTTTTGCTAAGATTGCCAGATTTAGCAAATAAAAATCCAGACGCTCAATAAATTTGAATTTCAGATAAACAGCAAATTTTTTTATTATCATAGCATAAACTTATACTAAAAAATTATTTGCTGTTGATCTGAATTTCAAATTTAAATGGGCATCTTGCATGTTTCATTTTTATCTGGTCCTTTACCTTTTGTCCATTAAGTGCTAGCTATGTAAGGGAAATAGCCTGATCAGCATTAGGTGTTTAAAAGGTGGAAGTGTTTATATACTTTTTAATGGGGAGGAAATGGTTTGGCTGGGAAGAAAAAGGTTGGCTGTTCTTTCTGGCTCATTGGATTGTTTGTAAAATCTACATCTGAAAAGAGGGAGGGAGTCAGAGAGAGATTGAGAGAGAGAAAAACTAGAGAGAGAAACAAGATGGTGGTTGAAAGTGGCTCACATGCCAGAAAGTTCCTCCCTCTTGAAGGAGCACCTATATAAGGCCAGACCCTGAATCCACATCCCCCACAAAAGAAGTATGGAGCAAGCTTCAGGGAGATGGAGCTCTCTCCCTGGGGGCTCCGTCTCCTGGGCATGTTTGCTACCCCACCCCCTTACCTGTCCCAGGTGACAGATCACCGCCTCGGAGGTGGGGCTGTGGTGCTGTGACTGGGGAATGAGTGACAGACTCCCTAACAAGATGCAGCTGAGGGAGCGGCTTGCTGACAGAACAATTTGCTGGTGCCCAGAATATCCGCCCAGCCCCGGCAAAGCGGCAGCCTAGGCGTCAGGAGAAATTTCAGGATTTATCATTCGCCTTGGTGTCAGGTTTTCTGCGAGCCGGCATACTTCCCACGGTGCTTTTCCAGACCTGCAGCCCTGACATGCTATCTGCCGAGGCTCCAGAGCCCCAGGAATTACATGTTAAACTATTCCATTTTTCCCCCCTCCTGATCCGCTTGTGTTTATGTAAATGACTGGAAAAGCAGTTTTTGGCTTATTTCTGAAGCTTAAGGGCTTCGTGAGAAGCCTATTATTGAAAAATCAGAAACTGAAAAGCAACTTCTTAGACAATGAATTAGCAGCTCAATGACTGTGTGTAATGCCAAGTGTACTGTAACTGGCTGCATTGCAAATAGGAACTCCCCTGGGATTCAGTAATCAAACACGTGGCAACAGGTTGTCTGTTTCAACAGAGAGTGAGTAATCAAAGGAGATTTGCAGTTAATCCAAATATAACAGAGAAGTATCCAAGAGAAGGGCCCGGAAAAGGAGAAACTAGACGGATGAGGGTAGACCAGAGCTTTTGGACGGACGCGCAGTTCCACTCTCTAGCAACTGAGAGAACTTTGTGGGGATCAGAGGGGTCCCATCTGAGTCGCTGAGTCACCGGCTATGGCTACACGTTGCGGCAAACCAGAAAATTAACCTCAGCACGTGCCTCTCCTGCTTGGCCGGTGATGTAAACCTGGGAAATGAATTAACTAGCCCGTCAGTGGTTTGCTTCAGGATTCAGACTCTTATACTGGTTTGAGAGGTGAGGATGAGTCACGGGTGGGGAAGGACCTGCTCTCTCTGGGAGGGGCTGATTAGAAGGTTGTGCTACACTGTTTCCGGAGACAGGTAAGTTTATACGCCTACATCCGTGTTCTCAAAGTGTGGTCCCAGACCAGATGCATCAGCATCACCTGGGAATTTATCAGGAATGCAGATTCTCAGGCGCCACCCCAGGCCTATAGATTTTTAGAAACTCAGAAATGAGGCTCAGCAGTCTGTATTAAGCTCACTAACATTTGACAACCACTGGCCAATCTGATCACCCGAATGGTGTAAGTGCCAGGTAATACTCAGGATTCTTACGTGGGCTCGAGTGTGAGTCCACCCACGGCTGGATCCAGATCCCAGAGCAATTCTGTGCTGACCGGCTCTGTCCTGATCTCCTCACAGGGCTGTGGGGCTACAAGGAAAGAAATTTAACATTTATTAAACATGTACTAGTGCTCAGTGCCAGGCACGGGTAAATGTTTTATGTGTGATAGTTTATTTAATCCTTTCTACAACCTTGTGAGCTAGGTGTTGTAGATAGGATTTTATGGCTGAGAACATTTTGGCTCCGAAAGATCAACTTTCCCAGGTCTGGATGTTTCCTGAGCCTATATTCCTTGCCCTGTCCCACCCAGCATCTCTGACACATGCGCCCTCTGCCCCCAGAATGCCTTGGGTACCGCCTACATGAAGCAACTGCCAGCCTGGCAGGGCCCCAGTTCTATATTTCTCTCCCTCCCCCACCCCACCCGACTCCTTGCCTCATGTTAATTTCCCACCTGAGTACTGAGCACTTTATAAATAGCAAATCTAAAATGAATTTTCTACCAGCGATCATTAGCTCCCTTGACATCCATTAAACATTCTCGCAAGCAGAGTGAAGTGACAAAAGGGATTGATTTTTACAGTATGCTTAATAGGGAAAAAGAAAGAAAGGTGTTGACAAGTCCTTTTTTTTTCTGTCCTGATATCACGAGGAATTTGAAATCAGTCAAATGACTTTTATCTGGAAAAAAAAAAAAAAGAAGGCTAGTATTGAGGGTGGAGGGAGAGGGGGTGGGGAGAGGGAAACAGCTTCCCCAGCACCCTGCTCAGCCCATTTCTGTATCTGTGACAGGTAAACATGAAGTTAGTTAGCTAGTGCCAGCCACCAAGATGAATATGTCAGATTTAATGCTTCAAAATGTATAGGGTCCAAGCCAGGGAGGGCTGAAGGGCTGGGGTAAGAAAGCAAGCGGTATTAGGGAAGAGGGAAAATAGCCAATCTTCTGCTGAAACTATTGGAAGAATAAATGTGTTGATGCAATAGTTGAAGTTAGAGAAGGCTGGCCTATGAGGCACTGTAGCTGAAAATTTAACTTTGATTTCAATTTTCATATTTGTCAGCAATAATTAGATTCACGAAATGTTTTGCCACTGTTCTAAAATACTAATAAGCAGAGGCCTTTGTAGTGTGGTTAATGGAGTCTTTTTTTCCTAGTGGTCTAGAAAAATTCCATTAAAGCGAAAAGTCATACTATATTACATCGCTTCAACATACATGGACTCTGCCGCTGCTGAGGTAATGCCCTCCCCGAGACTGGAGCCCTCTGTTTAACCACAGAGCCCCTAGCTAGCAAGGCAGTTTGGACTTCGGATACCTCAGCTGTCCACCATTCTGGACTAAATAGACCTTCCTGGGTCACGGGGGAAGCCAGCCAGAGGAGACAAAGGGAGAAGCCAATTCAACAGAGCATTGCTGTCGAAAGGATGAGCCTTGATAAACAATACCTCTTGGAGCAGGTTGAAGAGAGGACTTGAGAACAGGATGATCTGGTGGGTGCCTGGCCCTGGCTGGGAGGTGTGGCTCCTGCCCAGAGAGAGGACATCCATTCCCTGTCCATCACCAAACTGGACTCCCTCCCAGGGCCTTAACGCTGAAGCCTAGCCAGTGATAGAACTTCCTCTTAGTCCTTCCTCTTAGTCCCCAAACTGTTCTGGAAAGGAAAAGCTGAACTCTCTGGAGATATGGTTTGATTAAAAGGTCCAAGTTCTATTAGTTTTGAGCAACTTCTCTCTGGGGTGTTGAAGACTGTCTGTCCCAAGGAACCCCCTCCCCTGGAGGCCAGTGTCAGGGGTAGGAGTTAGGTGTATAATATACCACCACCCTCTGAGAGTCTGGTGCATGAGGAAGGGACTGGAGCATGCTCACCTCCCTCCTGCCTTGCTTTCACCACGGCTCCCCTGCAGTCTGGGATTATCATTCAGATGGGCTGGCACCTCTCTCTGGCACTCTCTTTCCTAAGCAGACTGCTGCTGCAGACAGCTGCCTGGTAGCTCATCTCTTGGAATCCAGTGAATGTAAGAATTCTGCCCTGATGCTCTTAATTTGCCTCTCCTAAGTTCCGAAGAGAAATCCCGAGCCATCAGTTCTACGTTGCCCATACCAACAGAAAAAAAGGGAGCCAACGGACCTATGTGATTTCCTTCATCTCCCTCCAACAGCGCCCCCCCCCCTTCACATTACATTGTGCTCTGCTTGTCCTAGTAGTAGAGTGACTTGGAATTGACTAGCCTTAAGTCTATTTCCTAAGCCTTAAAGGGAAATAAATGATGGAGGAATGTGATGACCTGCAGGGAGCCAGACCGGGATTAACAAGGCAGCCTGGATAAAGGACAACTTGCAGAAGTCACTCAGGGCAAAAGGGAGGGTGCATCCATCCCATGAATGCAGGGCAGCTGCCTCCATCTGCTCCTCCTGCTCTGCTTTCCAGGGCTTCGCCCCCACAGGGCTACTTCCTCCCAAGTGAACCTCTCCTCTCTGAGTAGACTGAAAACAGGAGCCTCTGCTCCTTCCCCGAAGTGCAAAGACCTTCCTCTGGCCCAGGCCTCTCTCTCTGCCCCGCCTTCCTTCCCTCTCAGCCCACCAATCGCTGCTTCCCTGCCGCCTGGCTTTTCCCTAGTGGCATGTGCCAGATCTTATCCCTATGCAGCACTTCAGGATGAAAGGAGGAGGGGATATTAAATCCACCAGTGATATGCGTGGCAATTGGGAGAGGCTTTTGTTGTGTCATTTCCTACCTCCTTCAGCCTATTAAGCAAACAAAAGTGCTTGTGGAATGAGAAATGTAAATGGCCAACGCAAGCCGATTAATCCTAGATGTACAATTCCATTAATAAGGCCGCTTTTTAATAGGCGGCTCCGGCAGCAGCAGCGGGCAGGCCAGGAATTGATGTATTCTCTGTAATTGTATTGCAACTAATAGGATATGAAGAAAATTGTACCAGAGAAGCAGGTCTTTCAACACCATTTTCCAATCAGCTGAAATAATGACTTGCAGCCGAAAGCCTTGAAAAGTAACGACACACAAAACATATAACATCATCCAGGAGTATCCGTTGTTCCAAATCTTGGTTTGGGAATGGTCTTTCATTCTTTCTCCAGGACCTCTCTCCCTCCCTGCTGCATCTCCGTCTTCATTTCTTCACCAGAGGTAGGAAGCAAACCCTGAAGAGTCTTCTCACCTAGAGATGGGAAAGGAGAGCGCTCGGGGGAGGCTAGCCCAGCCCAGGCCCCAGCTTTCACCTGACACGGGCCATGGGCACAGGCTGACACTGATGTGCTTGGCACGGCTCTAGGTTCTGGCAATGGATAGAGCAGACCCCGGATCCATCCTTGCCCTCATGATGCTTGCAGTCTATCGAGTCAGCAGAATTTGACTGCTGAGTCTTCACTGTACCTCCTATAAGGCACTTGGCCCTTCCTTTCCCTGAGACCATCCCAGGATGAAGGGAAAGCACCTCTGCCCTGGGTGACTGAGCTGTGGGCAGCACAGGGAGCCGGGGCCCCTTGCCAGTGTCTCTCACTCTCCCCTCCCTGCCCTCCTTGACTGGTCACTGGGTCTCTCTCCTGCCCATTTGTATGCGGACTCTGACCCTCCCTTGGTCACAAGCTGGAGAGTAAATACAAAAAGAAAAGGCAAAGCACATTTCAGTGGAAATCCCCAAGGAAACTGATGTGATTGCTGTACAGAAATGGTTCCAATAAGGGCAGAAAGGAATATTGCTTTTATAGCTTTTGGGACATAAAACATTTAGAAAATGTGATTGACTGGCAGGGTCTAATTTATCATTTATCTCATTCCCTCTGCTCTCTCCTCCTCCCCACAACACAGGCAGACACTTACAGGCAAACTTTTTTCCCCTCTTTGCTTTCCTTTCTTCTTCTCTCTCTCTGAGACTTGGATTTTTCATCATTCCGTTAAGCAGGGAACTCCTGTGGCTATTTATAATTAATGCTCAGAAACCTGCCAATCCATTTAATGACACTAGCAGGTCATGGCCCCCTTATAGCTCTCCATTAATCATCATTAGAACAGCTCTGAGTTTTTACATTCTTTTTAAATGTTAATTCACCTCTGTAATGCTCCTTTTAGTTAAAACTGTAAAGAGCCAAGTGGCTGGTACCTAGTTGCTGCCCGCCAGGGGAAAGGCATGGTGGAGTCGATAAAGCCTGGCTGATTTCCTCTGTTCTTTTGTCCTCCACCCCCTGTCCCCACCACCAGATGTCAACCCAGTTTGCTCTTTGGTTGCCTGTATTTATCTTAAAAAAAAAAAAAAAAATGCCTAGTGGCTTAAAGTTCCAGGCAGACACACACGCTCTGATATCTTTGGACTCCCAGGGCCAAGGCAGCAACCTGTGCAGAGTTGCTGACCAGGTGTCATGACATGGTTTTGTAGCTCCTGAAGGTGATGGACCTTGAAGAACTCCAGAGGTAAGTCGAGCCGAGAACTATCCATGTGATTTTTCAAACACTCAAGAATATGCCCCAAATGAAAACGCTGAAAGAGGTCATGTAAGGAATTCTTTCCCGGAGTCAAGAGAGCTCACCTCCTGGCTCATTGCTGCCACAGTAGGCTGTGAGACTTTGGGCAAAATATTTAACTTCCCTCCTCATCTACAAAATGGAGTCACACAGGCTCCAGTTATGGTGCGAATACGTCATGGGGACAGGGAATACAGCCAAGGGTACTGTAATCGTGTTGTGTGGCGGCAGATGATAGCCCCACTTGTGGTGAGCAAAGCAGAACGTATAGAGTTGTGGAATTTTCATATTGTACACCCAAAGGTAATGGAACATTGTGCCAGCTCTATTTCCATAAAAACAAAATACTTAAATAAATAATCTTTTCAAAATGAGGCCAACATCTGTCCTACCCAACAGAATCTATAAAGATTAAATGGAGTTGCAAGTAAACTTTTAAAACTAATAACATCGATTATCGATAGCAAGGTGTTATCACTGATACCATTTCTTGCCTTTATCTGCCACTCTGCATACATATCTCGACCTCCTGTGAAAGCGATGTCCTGTCATCGTTCATACTCACAAGGACATAAATACTTTCCAACCTCCACACTGTTGTATTCATATCATATTTATTAAGCCAGAAAAGTATAGTTTGAATCATCAAAACATATGGAGTAGAAAGTATGTTAAGTAAAGTATGCCTGGGTGGCTCAGTCAGTTAAGCGTCTGACTCTTGGTTTCAACTCAGGTCATGACCTTGTGGTTTGTGAGTTTGAGCCCCACCGTCTGCTGGCAATGCAGGGCCTGCTTGGGATTCTCTCTCTCTCTCTCTCTCTCTCTCTCTCCCCACCCCCACCCCCCCACTCACGTTGTCTCTGTCACTCTCAAAATAAAAAAAAAGAAAACTTGAAAAAAAAAAAGAAAGTATGTTAAGTTGAGAATGAAGGAATCTAAATTCGAGTATCAACTCTGTTGCTTACTACCTGAGCAATCTGAGCAAATTACTTCACTTCTCTGAGCCTAGCTTCTCTTATCTTTGGATTTCATATTTTTAAGCCTCCTTGATTTAGCCTATCTTGTGATTTTATTGTTTGCGCCATGAGTCTGTTCAAAGGGGCATTCTAGTGACCCAGGCCTACCTGAGGCAAGCTGGTCTCTTCAACCAGCTGAGCTCTCAAATTCTTTTGTTGTCAAGCAACATGCCCTAGAGCTTAGAACTCTAACAAAAGTGAGCACAAATAGATGAGGGAAATAGAAAATGTATGTTTAATTCATTTTTACTAATCACATGATTTCTCTCAGTACCACCCATTTTGTACTAGGCATTTGGGATTATGGATTTGAACTTATTTCCAAGGCTATCTCAAATCCACACGTCATCACCAACTGAGATGACCCCTCAGGGCCTACCAGGAAACAGACACCCCAAAGGTTATATCATTTAATCCTTTTTGATACTTTTCCAAACTGTATAAGCCTCATTTTGTAGATAAGTAAACTGAGGCTTAAAGAGGTAGGGTGCCTAGTCTGAGATTTATGTACACTGCAGGTCACAGGTCAAACCCAGATCTCTTGAATTTAAGTCCAGGTGTTTTGTTTTTAGTATCTATGTTGTTTCTTTCTGTTCCGGCACCATAACTAGTGACCTATGATTTTGGCTAAAAATTGACCTTCTTGGGTTGATTCCTCATTGCGCTAACATTCACATAGGCATTGTGACATATAAATGAACCTTGGTAGTGTTTTTATTTTTTGTTTGTTTATTATTATTTTCTAACAGGGAAGCCCACAAGCCACCCCCTTTCATTTTTAGTCTTCCTGCCGGTGTGGTCCCCATCCCCATTCCTTACAGGGACAGCCATACCTCTCTACCCCCTTCCCTGCAAAGCGTCACTGACACTCTAAGCAGACACCAGTCTCCAAGCAGGACTTTGGCCATCTGTTCTGCCCATCACTTGAGAATGCAATAAAACCTGCTTGACAATTATGTCAGCACAAAGGGCAGAGAGGGCTGCATGGCAAAAAGCTGTGTAAAATTCATTCTTCCAAAGGTTGCGTCAAGAATATTCCAACCAAAAAGAGTTTTAGCAGCAAGTGGAATATTGTGGCATCTGCCTCTTTCTCATTTCCCTACTTTGCTTCTGTAATGGATTTGTGTTAGTTCTTGCTTTGTACAAGCTAATAATAATCAGGCATTATAATTGTGTGATGCCATATGCATTTGAAAGGGCTTCCACAAATCTATTACATCTTTAAGTCTTCAGGACTGCAGCTGAATTTTAGAAATGAAGGGGCCTCAAGTAACATTTACCCCCAACTTTCTCGGCTGATTATTATTGATGTATTTTGTTTAGTTTAAGTAATGTATCCTTATTAAATATAATTTGGGCACTATATAAAAGTAGCTTTAAAAGATTTAAAGTCACTCATGCACAATTTCATTTAATGTATTTCTTCCAATTTTTTCCTTATTTTCTGCCATGGTTTTTATTATATAGTTATAATCATATCATTTATATCTCATTTTTTCTTTTAGGAATAGATCAGAAGCAATTTTCCATGTCGTTACATAGTATTAGCAAACATAATTTTAATTGGTTTCATTACATTACATCAAGTAGATGTACAATACCATTACCCTATGTTTGGGCATTTATGTTGTTCTAATTTTTGGCTGTTATAAATAATGTTTTAGTGAACATTGTAATAAATATAGTCTCATTCCAGTTTTATGATTGTCTCCTTAGACCAGATCACTAGGAATCCCCCAATTCTCTTCTTCTACTTAGGGAAACTGAGGCATAGAGAAGTGAAGCGACTCTGGTGACTTTTAACCCATAGTGGATTAAAGAGCATTACTCCGACAAGAAGTCAAATATTTTCTCTCTTCCTTTTACATTTCTTCCATTGCACGACGGTCTTCAGTATTTCTAAATAACAGGGCTTGAAAAATGTGTTCAGTGTCCATACCGAACGAAACTGATTTTTAGTAGGCTATAATTGAGAAGAAACAAAGTAAAAAAAATCATAGATTATGTAGCATTTGTAAACAATGGATATGAAATTAAATAGTGCAGTGTTCAAATGTGTTTAGAAATAATATGAATGGTAGATATTGGGAGATATCTATTCTATATTCTGATGGACCCTCTACTCTTTTTAAGACTCTTGTCTCCCTCTTCGCCCTCCACCCCGAACTAGGGGCCACTGTACTTTAAAGATAAAGCACCCCTAATTTTCTACCAGTAGAAGCTAGGACCTCTGGAAACCACGGTAATCTTTCTCTGGATCTTTCCTGCCCCCTTGAATTTGAAGGGATCTCCAAGTGACAGAAGAGAGATGGAGTGACTATTCTAAGTATTGAGAGCTGGAACAAGCCTGCAGAAAGTTTTATGTAAGACTTGGAGGCTTTACAACCTGAAGGGATAGTCGCCTATAATAACAATAGTTTAAATTCACTGATTGCCCACTAGGTACTAGGTATTATCCTAATTGCTGTGTATGTATTATTTATGATGATTCTTACAATATTTCTACCAAGTGGGTGCTGCATTTATCATAATTTTACATATGAGAAGACTGAGGTTCAGTTCACACAGAAGTTAGTGATAGGTTGGGATTTAAAGCTTGGAAGCATTGCCACCAAGCTTATCTCT